TGACGCCGACGATGACGATAACCATGACGATGACGATGACGATGATGATAATGATGACGACGATCATGATAATGGTGATGGTGAAGATGATGATGGTGATGCTGATGACGATTACGATGACGATGACGATGGTGACGATGACGACGATGACCACCATGATGATGATGGTGGTGATGATGATGATGCCGACGATGACGATGACGATGGTGATGATGATGAGGTTGATGATGAGGTTGATGATGATGCCGATGATGACGATGACAATGATGATGATGATGATGATGATGATTATGATGATGATGGTGATGATAATGATGTTGATGACGACGATGATGACGCTCATGATGGTGGTGTTGACGGTGATGTTGGTGATGATGATGCTGGTGATGATGATGGTGGTGATGATGATGGTGATGATGATGATGATGACGATGATGATGCTGATGATGCCGACGATGACGATGACGATGGTGGTGGTGCTCATGCCGACGATGACGATGACGATGGCGGTGATGATGATGATGGTGATGGTGATGCCGACGATGACGCCGACGATGACGATGATGGCGATGGCGATGATGATGACGACGATAGTTATGATGATGATGATGGTGGTGATGATGATTATGGTGATGCTGATGATGAAGGCAATGGCAAATATGATGATGACGAGGACCTGTGGTGATGGTGGTGATGATGATGCTGGCGATGACACTGACGATGGTGATGATGATGATGATGATGATAATGACGATGAGGATGCCGAGACTGACGATGTCGATGATGACAATGGCGATGACGATGACGATATTGATGGTAATGGTGATGCTGAAGATGACGACGATGATCATGATAGTCGTGATGACACTGATGGTTATGATGATGATGGTGGTGATGTTGATGATGATGATGGTGGTGATCACGATGATAATGCCGATGATGACAATGGCGATGGTGATGATGATGATGCCGACGAGGACTATGGATATTATCAGAGTGATTGTGGTGATGATGGTGATGACCACGATGATGATGATGATGATGATGATGATGATGATGATGATGATGATGATGATAGTGGTGGTGATGATGGTGATGATGATAATGATGGTGATTTTGATGATGGTGTTTGTGATGGTGACGATGACGATGATGGTAATGATGGTGATGATGATGCCGACAGTGGCGATGACGATGGTGATGATGATGATGATGATGATGATCCCGACCATGACAATGACGATGGTGATGATGACGATGGCAAAGGTGATGACGATGGTGGTGATGATGATGATGTTGGTAACGATAGTGCCAACGACGTCGATGACGATGGTGTTGATAATGATGATTCCTTACGATGGCGATGGTGGTGATTATGAGGATGATGGCGATGATGATGGTGATGATGATGATGGCCGTGCTGATAATACTGTAATTATGGTGATCATGCGGATGAGCATGATGCCGATGATGGTGATGCTGCTGATGATGACGATGACGAAGATAAGGATGTTGGTAATGCTAATGGTGATGATGACGATGGCGATGACGACAATGATGATGGTGACGATGATAAGGGGGACGACGATGATAGTGATGGTGGTGATGATGACAGCGTTGATGACGGTGGTGATGGTGATATTAATGGTGATGATGAGGGCGATGATGATGATGGTGATGATGATGATGAAGATGCCAACGGTGACGATGATAATGGCGACGACGGGGGTGACGATATGTGATGATGACGATGGGGACGATGATGACGATGATGGTGCAGGCGATCACGATGACGATGATGATGATTGTGACGATGATGATGCTGTTGATGGTAATGGTGATGGTGGTGATGATGGTGATGGTGATTGTGATGCGGATGATTGTGATGTCGACGATGATGGTGATGGTGATTACGAAGACGACGATGGTGATGAGGGTGTTGGGTATGTTGGTGATGCCGAAGAGGGCGTTGGTGATGATGATGACGACGACGATGATGATGCTGCTGATGATGATGATGGAGGTGGTGATGATACTGGTGGTGCTGATGCTGATGGCGACGATGGTAATGCAGCCGATGGTGATGATGATGATGCTGTCGACGATGATGATGGGGGTGGTGATGATGACGATGATGCCGACAATGACGATGACGATGATGATGATGATGATGATGAAAATGGTGATGGTGACGACGGTTGTGATGGTGGTGATGATGACGATGCTGGTGATGATGATGATGATGATGTTGGTGATGACGATGGTGGTGTTGATGCTGATGATGCTGTTGGCGTCGATGATGAGAATGATGGTGGTGATGATGATGACGGTGATGATGCTGATTCTGACGATGGTGATGATCATGGCAACGGTGACGAGGGTAATTCTGATGCGGATGACGATGATAATGATGATGCCGACGATGACGATGGTGACGTCGATGATGATGATGATGTTGGTGAAGATGATGATGGTGGTGATGATGAGGACTGGGATGATGATGATGATGAGCATGACGACGACGATGATATAAACCAAGACGATGATGATGCTGATGGTCATAGCGGTGATGATCATGATTGTGGTATTGATGATGAAAACGATGACAGCGATGACCATGATGACGACAATGATGATGATTATGGTGATGATGATTCTGATGATGACGATGATGATGATGATGGTGATGATGCCGACAATGACGATGGTGATGATGAGTATGCCGACGGTGTCGATGACGGTGACGATGATGTTGATGATGGCGATGATGATGATGATGATAGCGATAGCGGTGACGATGACGATGGTGGTGATGCTGATGCCGATGATGAAGGTGACAAGGATGATGGCCATTGTGATGGTGGTTTTAATGATGACGACACTGATGGTGATGGTGATGATTGTGGTGATGATGATGATGATGCTGGTGATGCTGATAATGGTGATGGTGATGATGGTGATGATGCCAATGATGAAGATGACTGTGGTGATGATGATGACGACCATGCAGATGAGAATGATGAAGATGATGGCGATGGTGGTGATGATGGTGATTATGATAGCGATGATGATGAGAATGACGGTGGCGAGGCTGATCATGACTATGACGATGGTAATCATGATGATGACGCCGAGAATGGCGATTACGATGGTGATGCCAATGATGGTGCAGACGATGATGATGGCGATGCTGATGATGGTGGTGGGGATGACGATGATAACGATGATTGTGCTGATGATGGTGATGATGCTGATAATGGCGACGATGGTGGTGGCGATGACGATGATGATGATGATGTCAGCGATGACTATGATAATATGACGGTGACGATGGTGATGTTGGTGGCGATGGTGATGGCAATGATGGTGATGATGCTGATGCTTATGCTGTTGGTGGTGATGATGGTGGTGATGGTGATGATGATGATGATGATGGTGATGCCGATGATGCCGAATGTGATTGTGGTGATGTTGATGATTGTGATGATGATGTTGATGATGCCGGCGATGACGATGTCCATAGTGACGATTGTGATGCGGACACCGACGATGAAGGTGACGATGTTGCTTGCGATGGTGGTGATGATGGTTTTGATGACGATGGTTGTGATGCTGATGATGGTGACGATGATGATGATGCCGACAGTGACGATTACGATGGTGATGATGATGATGATGATGATGATGATGATGATGATGATGATGCCGGCGATGGCGATTACGATGGTGAGGATGGTGGTGATGATAATGGTGACGGTGGTTGTGATGATGATGGTGGTGATGATGATGTTGATGATGACGATGATGTCACCGACGATGGCTACGATGACGATTATTGTGATGCTGATGTCGGCGATTATGATGGCGATGACGATGACGATGGTGATGCTGATGATGAGGCTGATGATGATGACGGTGGTGATGATGGTTGTGATAAGAATGATGGTGGTTATGATGATGATTATGCCGACAACGTTCAGGATAATCTCGTATACCAGGTGTAGGGCAGAGCGCCCCGTGGGACAACAATGTGGCTCACATCTTCTATGTTGATTCCAGTGGCCCGCAGTCGGTCCCCCAGCGTTGCGTTTGGATTTCTAGAGCCTCTGCGGCCCATTTTGGCTCAAGCCATTTCGGCCTCAGAGGCTGGCTCCAGTGAGCCCGCGTGTGAAGATCTCACAGAGCGCTGGAGTCAGCGCGTGCGCGACAGCAGAGATTGGCGGCGCGTGGCCGCAGTGCAAAAGCGCATCATCGTGATAGAGATCGACATCGGAACGTGGTAGCGGAGCGTACGCTTCGAGACCTTTTGGGCGTGCGCTCGACGAGCAGGGCCAACGGTGCAGTCGGATGGCCAACCCGCTGAGGTACCAGGGCCCTGGCTTAGTGGACACGCGATGCATCGGCAACCTCAAGAGGTTCGACGGCGCCGATGCGAACTGGACGCTGTGGAGCTTCCAGGCGGAGTCTTTCTTTCTTTGGTCTCATGCCGAAGCCAGTGGGCATGGACGGTCGACATCGAGGACCTGCTCGACTTCTCGCTGAGCGTCGACAGTGACACGGAGGTGGACATGGAGAGGATGTCGCGTGAGGCGAAAGAGGTGGCCAAGACCATGTATCACGTGCTCGCCCAGAGCGTCGACGGCGAGGCGCTTTCGGTGGCAAAAGGCGGTGCGAGAAGCACAATCGCTTCCTCCTCTGGCGAATGCTGCACCGCGCGAGTGCGCGCCGAAGGTGGGAAGGCGGGACGACGAGCATGCGGATCGGACTGCTGGCGCCCGACATAAAGAGAGAGTTCGCATGGCGAGGCCTTTCCTGGAGGTGCTGGCCGACTGGGACACGAGGCTGGGCGCCTGCGGGCGCGAGACGGGCGAGACGGTGAGTCAGTCGACCAAGATCGCAGTCCTGGCCAAGTGGGCGCCCACATCCATGGAGGAGACCATCCGGAAGAGCATGCCCCAGGCAGGAGGAGACGGCGCGGCACGAAGGTCGGTGATCGAGTCCTACTACCTCTACGGATCGAGCGGCTACGACGCGACGGGTCGGATCATGACGGCGTCCAGGAACACTGGAGGAGGTCCCGTGCCCATGGAGATCGGGGCCCTGCAGTGCCGCGACAACAGGCGCGGCCCCAAAGGAGACAAAGGCAGGGACCCCAAAGGAGACAAAGGTGGCGGCAAGAGCGACCCGAAAGGCAGCAAGGGCTGGAATAGCTATGTGGCACCCCGCAACTACAGATAAGAGTGAGGGGGCGGGCGCGGGCGACGCGGGCGTCGAGCCGGCGGTCCTCGTGGCCATCACCTTCCCTGTTGATGGCGCCCTCCTCCTCCTGCTCCTCCTCCTCCTCTTCCTCGTCCGCGTCCTCGTCCCCATCGTCGTCGTCGTGCTCTGACAAGTTCAGCGCGGGGGGGAATCGCTGGTGGGCCACCCCGAACGAATGCAAAAACAGCCCGCCGCAGGCGCCGAATTTTTGGCTTGTTCAGTGAACGTAGGTTGGGTCGCGGGTGGGTCGCGGGCTCTCCACCTCCACCTGGAATCTATTCAAAAGCAGCCCGCCGCAGGCGCCGAAAATTTTGATTTGTACACTGAACGCGGTTTGGGTCGCGGGTGGGTCGCAGGTTCTCCACTTGGAACAAATGCAAAAGAAGCCCGCCGCAGGCGCCGTGGGTCGCGGGTGGGTCGCGGTGGGTCGCGGGTGGGTCGCGGGCGAGATTTGGGTCGCGGGTGGGTCGCAGGTTCTCCACCTGGAACCAATACAAAAGAAACCCGCCGCAGGCGCCGAAAAAGTCGCGGGGTGGGTCGCGGGTGGGTCGCCGGTGGGTCGCGGGTGGGTCGCCCGGGGGGTCTCGGGGTGGGTCGCGGGCGGGTCGCGGGGTGGGTCGAACGTGGGTCGCGGGTGGGTCGCGGGGTGGTCGCGGGTGGGTCGCGGGGTGGGTCGCGGGTGGGTCGCGGGGTGGGTCGCGGGGTGGGTCGCGGGTGGGTCGCGGGGCGGGTCGCGGGCGGGACGACGACAACAAACAACAAACAACAAACAACAACACCAGCACCAAACAACAACAACAACAACAACAACAACAACAACAACAACAACAACAACAACAACAACAACAACAACAACAACAACAACACCACCACCACCACCACCAACAACAACAACAACAACATTAACAACAAACAACAACCAACAAACAACAAACAACACACAGCAAGCAACAAACAACGAACAAGAAACAACAAAAACAAAAACAACACCACCACCACCACCACCAACAACAACAACAATGACAAGAACCCGCATCGCGGAATTCCACTTCAGCCACGCACCCAGGGACAGTGAATGACCATTCGGTTCAGCCCCCTCACTTTGACCAAAACCAGGGTAGCTACGGCGGTGGCAAGAACTGGAACAGCAACCAGAACCAGAGCAGCTACGGCGGCGGCAAGGGCAGAGGCGCTTCGAGCCCCAAAGGAGGAGGCAGAGGAGGCAAGCCGGATGGCAAGGGCTACCCACCTCCTCTGGCGCCGTACTTCAACGGAGAATGCCTTCACTGTTGGATGCGGGGGCATCGTCGACAGGATTGTCGGAGGCTGACGGCCGAGAAAGGAGGGCTGAGCGTGAACGCGGAGGCGTTTCCCAAGTCTCGGAGGCGTCGCCCTCTACAGCCCTTACTGTGAGCCCGAATGACAGCGCTTCGCAGGCGCATAGGCCACGAGTTGGTGCACTCCAAACGGTGCCGGATGATCGCTGCCAGACTGTGCTCCGACAGGAGCCCTTTCCAACCAATTCATCATGGATGATCGGAGCACTCATCATGAGGATTTCGGATGGCTACAAGACCGCGCTGTTCGATTCTGGAGCAGACGACAATTTTGTCCTGGAGCAGATGTTCGCGCCGTCGGCGACAGAGCCGAGTGCGCGAGGGAGCGGCTTCAAGAGCGTGACAGGCACGACTATCAGGGAGAGCGGAGAGAGATTGGTGGAGATGATCTTTGGCGACGTGGACACCATGGAGGTCGCTCTGAGCTGTCGCGTGGTGAACGTCACCAATGTCATCACCAGCGTGGGGAAGCTGCAGAGGGACGGCGTCATAGTGGATTATGGTGGCATGCGGGTGAGCAAGGTCAGGCCCGACGGCGAGGCGAGCAGGGCCCACTTCAGGATCGCGAGGAACTCGTGGGATATCCCCATCCAGATCAGCAATGACAAGGGCGAGCCCCTTGGGATGAATGCGACGGTCGACAGCGAGATGGCGGCACGCCGAGATGACCAGGCACGAGGTGGAGACCAAGCACCAGGGGGACATCAGGCACCAGGCGGAGATCAATCACCAGCTGGAGTACCAGATCAGGTCGAGGATCCGCCTCTAGGCGACGGGAGCTGGGCGAGCCAACGCGCGGGGCTGAGCTGTGGGCGAGAGTGCGAGCAAGAGAGGAGAGGAGAGGAGGCGCGCGAGGATCAGAGGGCAGGAGTATCTAGCGCGGAGGCTCGAGGAGCTCGGGAGATCCGAATCAGGGCCAGTCGAGCCGCGAGTTCTTCCAGGGCCGACGGCGCCGCCGACGGAGGAGGCAAGGCAGGCGCACTACCTGACGCACCTGCCAGCGGCGCCCTGGCGCGAGCGGTGCCAGATGGGGCGCGCCAGAAATGATCCCCTACTGGCAAAGTAGCGCATGCAAGAGGGACCTACGACAACCAACGATAGCGAGCGACCTCTGCATCATCAAGTCCGAGCTCAGCGGCGAGGTGGACCCGAGCATGGAGGCAATGGGGCAAGGCACTACGCTCGTCTGCGTGGACCACGACACGGGCATGCCGAGGTCTATCCCGTCTCCGTCCAAAACGGCGTCGGACCACCTCGCCCCGAACGTCTTGAGCTTTGTGAGGTCGCTGTGCCTAGGGAGGTTCATCATCAGGTCGGACAACGAGGCCGCGATCGTGACCATCGGCAACAAAGTGAAGGACACCCTTCCCCAGCAGTGCGTCCGAGATGCAGTGCCCAGGCACAGCAGCAAGCCCAACGCCGTCGCGGAGGAGATGATCGGGAGGATCGAGGAGCAGGCCCGCGTCTTCGCACTGGATATATTAGCCCGCTACTGTGTTGAGGTGAACATGGGCATGGCAATTTGGAGTTGGATGATCAGGCATGCGCGATGGTGTATTGGGCGTTTTCACGTGCGGGGCAGCGGGCAGACTCCATACTTCACCGCCTACGGCCACAACTACAAGGGCGAGATTCTGCCGTTCGCGGAGACGCGCTTGGCGATACATCCGAGGCCTAAGCACAGGCAGGCGAAGGGCACGACGGTTCACAGGGGGCAGCCTGGATAAACACAGGCGATCTGGGTCGGGCGCCCCGAGCTTTCGAACGAGCACATCACGGTCAGAGAGCACGGTGTCATCGCGACGAGGACGGCGCGGAGGCTCGAGCAGAAGGAGGAGCGCGCGAACAAGGAGCTTCTCAGGAAGATCGACGCTACGCCATGGAACCAAAAATCAGGTATTCGAGCGGCTCCGAGACCATCGACGCCAACGCCAAAGCCAGTGCCGACGCAGGCCGCCAGGATCCGCCAGGGACGACGCCCGGCAACCCAGCGCACCGACGCCGGGGGCGTCAGTGCCAGGTACGCCGACCCCAGGGACCCCCAGGGCACCAAACGCAACGTCAGGGGGCCAGCAGGGGGCCTCTGGAGAGGCCGAGGAGGACATGGACTGGAGGGTTCTAGAGCCATCAGCAGGAAGCGGCATCGGGAGAGACAGCGGCGCGCGAGACGACGAGGAGAGCGCGGCGAAGAGAGTGAGGATCATTGATGAAAGGCGCAGCAGCCCGAAGAGAGGCCGCGAAGAGGCTGACATCGAGGACGAGGAGGGAGAGAGGAGGCAACCAGCAGCGATGCTGGCAGCCATCGGCGACTTCGCCGACAGCGTGGATGAAACCATCGAGGAGATGCGCTCCGATGAGGAGACGGAGATCGACGAGCAGGCCCCGGCCTGAGACGAGGACGAGATCGAGGAGGCAAAGAAGCTAGAGATCAAGAGGCTCGAGGATTTCGGGGCCTTCCAGGTGGCGCCGACGGAGGCGTCGAAGGGCAAGCGGGTGATCGCGACGAAGTGGCATCTCACTTGGAAGGCTGAGGAGAAGATTACGAGGGCGAGGTTCGTGGTGCGAGAGTTCGCCAAGTTCGCGAAGAGGTTCGACGTTTTCGCGCCGGCTTCGACAGCGACGACGAGCAAGGTCATGAATTTCATCGCCATGCAGCTGTTCCTCTTGACCTTCTGCTTCGACTTCTCGAGCGCCTTCTTCAATGCGCCGGAGAACGAGGAGTGCTCTGTGCACCCCCCGGCGGAGTGGATCAAGAAGGAGGTCGAGGAAGGCAGGTCTGGGGAAGCGACATGGAGGTCACTTCGACAGCTATGCGGGCGCCAGAAGGCAGGGCAGGAGTTCGCGACGTGGCTGGCCGAGACCTTGATGTCCCCTGGCCTCGAGAGGCACAGAGGGTGACCGCACTTCTTTGTTCACAGGCAGGGGGTGCTCCTCCTCGAAGTCCGCATAGAGGGCGGCCACGGGGCAGGAAGCCGACCGCGAGCGAGGAGTTCCGCCAGGAGCTGCACCACATCAATATGGTCAAGACCAGCGGCCCCGTCAAGCACGGAGAGGAATATGTCCACCTGAAGCGTTTCAGGACCTGCACGAGAGACGAGGTCGCATTCAGGAGCGACCCCAGGCATGTCACGAGCGCGAGGAAGGCGCTGGGCATGGAGAACCGCGGATCACAACCCACCCTGGGCGTCAAGGCCAACAAGAAGAGCAGCGAGGACCGCGTGGAGTCAGACGGCAAGGAAGTGACGATTTTTCGCAGCTGTGCCGGCAGCCTGCTGCACGAGCCCTTGGACAGGAGCGACGTCCAGCATGAAATTGGGGAGCTGACCGCCATGAGATCTAAACCAACAGTGTTCGACATGAAGGCGCTGAAGAGGCTCGCGCGGCATGTGGCCGGCGCGGGGGAAGCCGTCAGGAGGTGGACCAGGAGCAAGAAGGAGGACGGGCAGGGCTCAGCGATTCCGACCGGGCTTAGAACGAGGATAAGAAGTCGCGGTCGAGCGTCTTCGCATAGGCGAATGGTTGCAGCCTGCTCAAGAGCACGAGGAGGCAGGGAGTCATCGCTCGTTCGAGTGCGGAGGCAGAGTTCTACGCGGCGACTGCCGCGGCGAGCGAGGCGGTCCAATTGAAGGAGCTGTTCAAGTGGTTGGGGTTCCGCGCGAAGGCGAAGCTCTACATGGACAGCAGTGCGGCGCGTGGAATCGCCGCCAGAGAGGGGCAGGGCGCGCGCGGCACATCGCCGCGCGCACGCTCTGGCTGCAGCAGATCGTGAAGAAGAAGCCGCTGGAGATCGACGCGATCCCGACGTTGCTCAACCCAGCCGACCTGGGGACCAAGGTGCACCCGAGGCAGAGGCTGGAGTGGCTCAGGAGGCGCGTGGGCATTCAAGTGCCCGAGAGGAGCAACAACGATGGGCGCGATGGAGGCGAGGCTGAGGTGGCCTTGAGCATGATTCTGAGGATTCTTCCGAGTGTCTCGCGAGGCTGGGTTTTTGCTGCAGTTCAGGAAATTGAGCAAAGTATCGACGCGTACGCTAGTGCATGGCGCGCTTGAGTTGCGACGCTCGGCATGTCCCTGAGCCCGCTGAGAAAGGTAGAGGCGTTACCTTCATCAGCTCGGGAGGCATGTTCCGGATAATCTCGTATACCAGGTGTAGGGCAGACCGCCCCTTGGGACAACAATTGAGGCCACATCTGCGATGTTGGTTCCAGTGGCCCACAGTTTGCCCCCCAGCGTTGCGGCCCATGTTGGCTCAAGCCATGTCGGCCTCAGAGGCTGGCTCGAGTGAGCCCGCGACTGAAGATCTCACAGAGCGCTGGAGTCAGCGCGTGCGAGAAAGCAGAGAATTGCGGCGCGTGGCCGCAGTGCAACAGCGCATCGTCGTGACAGAGTTCGACATCGGAACAGACAATGACAATGACGAGGATGATGGTGATCACGTTGGTATTGGTAACGGTGATGCTGGTGGTGATAATGATAAATACTGACGATCATGTCGATTATGAGGGTGTTGGTGACGATGTTGGTGCTCGTGGTGCTGGTAATAATGCTGAGGCCGACTGTGCCGACGTTGATGATGATGACGGTGGTGATGCGAATGATGGTGGTGACGATGGTGATGATAATTGTGGCGGTGTTGCCGACGATGTCGATGGTGATGATGGTATGGAGGTGATGATGGTGATGCTGATGATGATGGTAATGGTGATGGTGATATCGGCGATGGTAATGGTGTTTCTGACGATGATAATGATGATGGTGATGGCGATGATGTGTGTGGTGATGACGATGCTTATGATGACGATGACGGTGGTGATGATGATGATTATACTGATGATGTTGCTAATGATCATGAGGGCACTGGCGATGACGATGGTAATGATGACGGTGATGGGTGGTGATCGTGATAACGATGGTGGGCAGTGATGGAGCTGAGGGTGATGATAATGATGATAGTGATGAGGATGGCGATGATCAAATGATGCTGACGATGACGTTCGGTGATGGTGCTAAGGATGATGATGGGGATGGTGATTGTGATTGTGATGACGATGATGCCCACGGTGACGAGAACGGTGATGATTGTGATTGTGATGGTGATGATGCTGGTCACAGTGGTGTTGGGATGATGGTAGCGATGATCATGATGGTGATGGCGATGATGGTGACCGTGATGATGACGATGGCGATGGTGATTATTATGATGATGGCGATGGTAATGCTGATGATGGTTGTGATGCTGATGATGATGAGATGCCAACAATGACGTTGATGGTGATGCTGATTCTGGTGTTCGTGATGATGGTGGTCACGGTGGTGGTGTTGATGATGATAATGGTGATGATAATGACGATGATGGTGGGTACGGTGATGATTATTATGATGACGGTGGAGATGATGATATTGATGATGATGCTGACTTGGATAATGATGGTGATGACGAGGATGGTGACTATGATGGCGGTGGTGGTTATGATGATGATGCTGGTGATGATGCCGGTGATAACGATGACGGTGACGATGATGAAGTTGGTGATGACGGTGGCTGTGGTGATACTGATGGTGATGATGATGATGATGATGATGATGGCCATGGTGGTGGTGCGGTGGTGGCGATGGCGATGATCATGATGGTGGTTGTGATGACGATAGTGATGATGATGATGATGATGATTCGGATGATGGTAATGATGATGATTATGACGATGATGATTGCGATGACGATGGTGACGAGGACCAGGATGAAGATGGTGGTGGTGAGGACGCTGATGGTGATGATGATGGTCATGGTTGTGATGACGATGATGATGGTGGTGATGATGATAATGATTATGCAGGTGATGACGGTGATGAGTATGATGCTGGTGATGGCGATGATGATCATGGGTCTGCCGATGAGGAGGGCAAGGAGGATGATAATGATGATGTTGATTGCGATGGCAATGATGATGCTGATGATGATGGTGGTTGTGATGATGATGGTGATGATAATTGCCATGGCGGTGGTGATGGTGATGATATGATGATGCTGGTGATGATAGTGATGACTGTGATGATGATGATGACGACGATGATGGTGATGCTGCTCATAAAGGTGATGGTACGGTGATGGTGAGGGTGGTGATGATGCTGAAAAGTATGTGGTAAGGATCAGGATGAGGATGAGGATGCGGATGACGACGGTGATGACAATGATGATGATGACTATGACGACTATGACGCTGATGATAATGGTGGTAATGATGATGATGGAGATGGTGATGATGATGCTGATGATTGTGATGATGATGATGGTGACGCCGATGATGACGATGAGGAGCATGGGTGATGCGGATGATGATGGTGATGGTGCCAACGCTGACGATGACGATGGTGATGATGATGATGACGATGGTGATGGTGTTGGTGATGATCATGCTTATGATGCAAATGATGAGCTGGGTGAGGATATGAATGATGACGATGATAATGATGATGGTGATGATGATGCTGGTTATGATGATGGTGATGGTGATGATGATAATCCCCATGGTGGTGGTGATGATGACGATAATGATGATGATGATGATGCTGACGATGATGATGATGCTGATGAGGAGGATGTTGATGATGATAACGATGACGATGATAATGGCGATGGCGATGACGACGATGATGACGCTGCTGATACTAAGGATGGTGATTGTAATGATGATGATGATCATCATCATCATGATGATGATGCTAATGCTGCCGGTAATGAGGAGTAGGATGATGATGGCGATGTTGATGATGACGATGATGACGATGATGAGTAGGATGAGGATGGTGACGATGATGACGATGCTGAAGATGACTATGACGACTATGGTGAAGATGATGATGACTATGATGATGACGATGACGATGCTGATGATGATGCTGACGACGTTCATGTTGCTGATGATGAGGAGGGTAAGGATGATGATGATGATGACGATGATGATGATGCTGATCATGTTGGTGGTGATGATGATGGTGGTGACGATGATGATTGTGGTGGTGATGATGACGATGATGAGGATGAGGATGACGATGGTAATGAGGATGACGATGATGATGACGATGATGACGATGACGACCATGATGCTGCTGATACTAATGATGGTGATCGTTGATGCTGCTGATACTAATGCGGATGATGCTGATTAGGAGGACGAGGATAATAATGATGATGATGACGATGTGGATGATGCTTATGACGACTGTTCTGATGATGATGAATATGATTTTCATGTTGAGCATGATGATGCTTATTGCAATGATGATGGTGGTGGTGGTGATCGTGATGATCATGGCTATGATGATGTTGGTGCTGATGATAATCTGATAATGGAAAGATAATGGTGGTGATGATGATGATGGCCATGCTACTGCTGCTGCTTGTGATAATGATGGTGGTGATGATGACGATGATGATGCTGATGATGATGACGATACTGCCGATGATGCTGATGATGATGATCATGATGGTCATGATGATAATGGTGGTGATGATAACGATGATGGTGATGATGATGCTAATGCTGATGATAATGCTGATGATGCTGATGATGCTGATGCTGATGCTGCTGATGCTGATGCTGATGCTGATGCTGATGATGATGATGATGATGATGATGATGATGGTGATGCTGATGATGATGCTGCTGCTGCTGATGATGATGATGATGATGATGACGATGATGATGATGATGATGATGATGATGATGATGATGATGCTGATGATGATGGGCGGCTGCGGCAGCGGGGGTGGGCGGCGATGACGGCGGGCGGCGACGACTGCGGGGACGGCGCGTCCGTTGCGGCGGCGGCGGCGGTGGCGAGGAGCCCCCAGCGGGCGGTGCGTCCGGAGGCCGTGCGTTCGGAGGCCGATTGGCGGGCGCGGGCGTTCGGAGGCCGAGGGGCGGGCGCGGGCGGTGTGGCCCGGGCCCCAGGCCTCCCCAGGAGGAGGAGGAGGAGGAGGAGGAGGAGGAGGAAAAGGAGGAGGAGGAGGAGGAAAAGGAGGAGGAGGAGGAGGAGGAGGAAAAGGAAAAGGAGGAGGAGGAGGAGGAGGAGGAAAAGGAAAAGGAGGAGGAGGAGGAGGAGGAGGAGGACGAGGAGGTAGGTCCCTCCCTCGCCCCAGCGGATCTGCGCTCCCCAGATGTGTTCTAGATCTACTCTTAAGTCGGGCCTGCCCCTCTCCAGGGGGAAGATTCCGAAATCGCCAGAAAATAGTGCGGGACGATTTTTGGATCTTTTGCTGACCATTTGGGGGCACTGTTGAAGTATCTTTAATTTTTCGCCCAAAATCCCCCTGTAGGGGGACAGGCCCGACCTAAAGTTGCCGTCGCAGGTGCGGAGGGTGGCCCTGCTGGCAGCGGAGGTCTGCGGCGGTCCGGCTGGCAAC